GACTTATAATATTGTATTCCTTTAAGGGGTATGACATCATGATTTGATATATGTATATAGTACAAAATGATCTCCACAAAAATTTTAGTTAATGTCTATCACCTCACATACTTACAATTTTGTCTTGTGATGAGAACTTTTAGGATCTACTCTCTTAGGAGCGTTTAATATACAGTACAGTATTGTCAACTGTGGTCACCTGTCGCATCTTACACCCCAAGAATGCATTTTATAATTGGAAATTTATACCTTTGACCCCCTTTCACTCATTTCCTCCACCTTCTATCCCCTGCTTCTGCAGCTACCAATCTGTTCTCTGTTTCTATGAGTTTGTTTTTTTATTTTTAAGATCTCAAATATAAGTGAGATCCTACAGTTTTGTAGTTCTCTGTCTGACACTGTAGCATAAAGCCCTCAAGGGATATTCGAGGGGAGATCATTTCATTGCCTTCCTAATAAGTTCCACCAAGGATGTTGGTTCCCTTACCCCCCCGCATTTTATAATTGAAAAATTTATACCTTTGACCCCTTTCATTCATTTCCTCCACCTTCTACCCCCTGCTTCTGCAGCTACCAATCTGTTCTCTGTTTCTATGAGTTTGCTTTTTTATTTTTAAGATCTCAAATACAAGTGAGATCCTACAGTGTTGTATTTCTCTGTCTGACACTGTAGCATAAAGCCCTCAAGGGATATTCGAGGGGAGATCATTTCATTGCCTTCCTAATAAGTTCCACCAAGGATGTTGGTTCCCAGCAAATGTCCCTTAGTGCTCAAATCCCACCACAACGCAGCCCACTTGCCCCGGGAGTTCTGGGTTCGAACTGGACCCGGCATCTATGTCCAATTTATTTTGAATCCAGAACTGCTTCTCTTGTTTCTCTTCGTGGGTTGGGTTCATTTCCTATTTAACCCCGACGAAGGGCCCGATTACGGCCTGTTCTTGGACAAAATGTCGTAAGTTAGGTAAGGACAGAGATGGCTCTCTGTTCCTTCTTCCTTCAAGAGAGGAAGCTGCCTCTGGCTGCCTCAAAGATGATTTACACTTCTAAGGAGCACAGAGGTGTGTGTGTTACTTCTGACACCTCTTCATTGAACAGCCATAATAAAACTCCACAATTCCTCTTGAGCAGAAACAATTTCTCCAACAAACTGGACTAAATAGCCAACTCATTGCATGACATGTGCCAAGAGCAGTGGTCAGCAAACTCATTAGTCAACAGAATCTTGAACAGAAACATTTTCTCCAACAAACTGGACTAAATAGCCAGCTCATTGCATGACATGTGCCTAGAGCACCTGCTGACTTGCACTTTTGGAATTACTCTGAAATCCCTTGTCTCCAATAAGGGAAGGCTAGGATCTAAATGTCCACCGCCACAAAACGGGAACTTACATAAATTCACGGCATTCCAAGATGGTTCTGATGCCCCAAATTCAGTCCTAATCTTCAGCATTTTGTTTGCAAAATATTTTATTTACGGGCCTAGAGCACCTGCTGACCCTGCCTTTTTGGAATTACTCTGCAATCCCTTGTCTCTGATAAGGGAAGGCCAGAATCTAAATGTCCACTGCCACAAAACAGGAACTTACCTAAAACCACGGTATTCCAAGATGGTTCTGATGCCCCAAATTCAGTCCTAATCTTCAGCATTTTGTTTGCAAAATATTTTATTTATACCACATTGTAGTTTAGAGGGATATAGTTAAAACTCTTAGCAAATGTAGAGGGCTGAACACATGCAATGTGGAATAATGGCCATTATTAATGTGCATCTGTCCTTGCAGCTCAGGGTAATCATTTCTTGGCATGGGAACTTGCAGGGAAGGGGGAAAGTGTTTCTGGCAGGCAGAATAGGATAGGTGGGGGCCAGGAAGAGAGTCAGAGCATGGACCATTAGCGGAAAGGATTTTGTGGGACTGGTGCTTAGAGAGGAGATAGAAGCCAAGTGAGGATGGGAAGATGGGCGTGATCCAGGTTGTAAAGGGCTTTGCAATGCATATTAAGGGATTTGCACTTTATTCTAACAGCAGCAGCAGGAAACCATTAAAGGGTTTCAAGCAGATAAGCAACTCAGTCATATATTCATTTTAGAAAGGTCACACTGGCTGGTGTGTGGCCAGTGGGTGGGAGGCTTGCAGGCTGGGGTGCCAGGAGGCCACTTAGGAAGCCTTGACAGGCAACAGATAGTGGTAGCTTGCACAGAAGAGATGGCGAAAGGTGGCTGGACTAGAGAGACATCCAGGAAGTGGAATCAACAGAAATTAAGGGTAGATAATGTGGGGAGGAAGGCGGGCAACCCAAGGAAGAGCCCTCCTTTCTGCCATTCTCTGCGGTGGAGACCTTGCGGGAGAAGGAGTAGGTTCCCGGGAAAGCGGCTGATGCCCAGTATTGCAGATGTTGAGAAGGAGACATCTGGGACAGCCAGGCGAGGAAGTCTCTTAGACGCCCGGGCAAGGTTGGAAAGCAGGAGCACA